GTGCACACACAGCAGGCTCCAGGCTCGCTGCAGAGGGACTCAGGCTGAGCTCTGCAGGCTCTCGCTGCAGACAGGTTCTCACTCCTAAAACACCCGATGCATCATGTTTCTGCCACTGGCTAATTCTTCCATAGGAGAAGGCATGATGGAACAAGTGCTCCAATCAAAGAGGAAACTCAGCCAGTCAAGAAAATCCTCCCCAGGCGACCAGGCTTTATTTCTCCCAGTTGGCTCAGCCTCATTTCTCAGTTCTTTTATGAACAGCTCTCAGTCACCTCCAGCTGCTCCCAGCGGACTACATGGAAAACAAAACTACAGAAACTGGCTCCACCTTCCTCGCATCCCCATCACCATTAGGGTACCTAACAGTACTCCAGTGTTAGGAGGCGTTGGTTTCACCCACTAAACCCTGGAGCACCCACATCTGTGTGTAACTGCACCCTGTGGTTGCTGTCTGAACGATGTCCTTCCAGCTCTTGGCCAACAAGAAACTGGTTGAATCAGGTTGGATATCAGGAAAAATCTCTTCTCAGGAAGAGCGGTGAGGCAGAGGCACAGGCTGCCCAGGGAGGTGGAGGAGTCACTGTCCTTGGAGGTGTTCAAGAACTGTGGAGATGTGGCACTGAGGAACATGGTCAGTGAGCATGGTGGGGATGGACTTGGTGATGTTAGTGGTCTTTCCAACCTTAATGATCCTATGAAATGAAATGTAGCCTCTTGAGCAAAGAGGAGGGATAGGTTTACCAGATAAGACAACTCGCAGCTAAGACAAGGACAGACTACATTCAGCAGCTGTGCTCTCTCTTTGTGCTACTGCAACCAGCCTCATGCAGCCAGTGGGATTCACCTCACCTACAAGAGAGACACCTACGTGAGAGCCCATCATCTGGAGCCTCTTTGCAATCAATGAGAAGAGACAGGTGCAATCTGTCTGGCTGGTTTCAGACATCTGCATTAGGACGAGATGAAAGCTCTCATTTCCCCTGCTGGGTACATATGGAGGCGAAGGGGAAGCAGCGGAGATGTTAGGCGTCAACATCTAAAGAGGTGAACTGCACCCTGATGTTTCTTACTATGCACTTTGCTCAAGCACTTTTCAGAGAGGGATCATCTCGTGTTTCACGCTGCACCCAACATGAAAGCACTCCCAGTCTCCAGGGCCAAAAGGTAATACCACACTTCAGATGGTAAAAAAGGGGCTGATACTCTGAAATACCTACCGCCGAGAGAACTCCGCAGTATTTTCCCTGGAACAATATTCCAAATGGATCCAAGTCATTTCGGGGCCGCTAGCCCAGTGCAGGTCCCAACTCGCCTCTACGTCAGCAAAAAAGGAGTGGGAATAGTCTTAGGGGCCAAGCACTCTGTGCAGTGAGAACTGCAGGGCCCTGCAGGTTTGGCTTTACTGCTGGGAGGGGCAGAGAGGGATGCATACGCACAGCAGGGTTGGGGGATGGCTGCAGAAACGTGCAATCTGCACACACCAGGAAGAGACTTGGGATTTTCAGACCCATCTCTTTTTCGTGACTTCTGAGATATATGATCCTTTGGGGCTGGCAGCACTGGAGCTCAATACAGACGAACGCAAAATAATGAGTCTGGGGGCAGGAAGCCAAATCAGAGAGCACACATTAAGTGGAGCTGTCGTACTGCTAGGCTGGCCAGATGGAGGAGGTATCGTAAGATCTGCAAAGCCATCAGCCCCAGTGCTACAGAAAATAAGAAAACTAAGCTCAAATGGGAACTGCAGGCAGAATTACGTCCCTGACAACAGGATGAATGAGGAATAAGTTGCTGCATAAAGCCCTCAAATCAAACAGACAAAAAAGCATAGAAGGAGCTACATGACATTTACCTACCGAAAGGTTCAAAGGACGAAGAGAAGTTTGAATTAGCTCTCTGAAAGGATGACTTCCTGGTGGGAGAGCTTTTTCTTCTGCATCCATCCCAGTGTACGATCACTGCTGGGTTTGTGGACTCCTACCTTAGATTTTAACCATTATTCCTCCTGTGTCTGAATCCCAATAGGCACCCACAGAGCCAGCCACGCTGAGAAGGAGCAACCAGTGGTCCTCCAGCTGCATGTACCAGCTGCCAGCCACAACCCATGTCCACAGCAGGAGCTGTGGGACTATTCTGATTTGTTGGTTGGGTTATTTTTTCCTCCTTCTTTTTCCCCTCCTCAGGAATATAAACTGAAGGTGCACTAAACTGCAAATTGAATAAACTTGTTCTAGGTGCAGACTTTGGAAGAAAGGAGAGGTAAACCTGAAGTGTCTTAAGAGATGCTGTCCTGATTGCCAGCCCATGCTCACTGCAGTCAACATCATTTTTCAACTGACTTCAGCAGAATTTGAACGAGACCTTGTAACCCTGTTGCAATGCAATCACAAGCCCTGCCAAAAAACACGTGCTTATTAGCATGCTCTGAAAAAACCCAACCCTCTGTTCAGCTTTTGCTCTCTTCACAAGGAGCACACTCTTCCGACAGCGCTGGTTTTGAGGCCCCTAAACAGGACTACAGAAGCAACTCTATACTTCTTTATTTAAAACTGTGTAACTTCCCCCCTAAAATTCATGCTGGCTTTTGTTTGTCTTCTTAAAAGCATCTTACAGATGCCTTGTTTTTTATTTAAAAATGTAGGGACTGCAGGTAGAGAATTTGCACGAACGTGCTGGCAGCTGTAATTCCCAGTCAACTGTCCTGCACCTCTGCTAGTCCCCAACCAGGGACTGGGTGCAGGCACTCCCACGGTCTTTAGACCCTGCAGACCTCACCCACAGTGCCACTATTTATTGCTGAAATCAACAACTGTTAATTCCTACAAAGCATAAGATGAACCAATTGGCTTTCACATGGATCTACACTACAGGAGATTGGGACCTGAAGGGTTTCCCGACGGCAGCAGCAACGTGTGTATTTAAAGCACTGGCTCATGTCACACACCACAGAACCACCAAGCTGGCTTTCTGAAATCCCATCTCCACACCTGCCCTCTGCCAACAAGGAGCTCACTGCACTGCTGGCTCTGCAGGCAGGGACCTGCTGCATGCATCTTCTCAGCAGCCCTTGGAGCACAGAGCAGTCTCCGTCCCTTTCCTCATCTCCACAGGCAGGAGCCATTCTTCATTTTCCATCTGCAAGCACACCAAAAGACTCATCCTTTATGTACGCATTCAGCAACATAAGTTTCAAAAAAAGACAGTCTGGCCTGTGGTGTGTTGTGACTCCACCTTTCCTTCTGACTCCACTTGATCTCTAGAGCCAGTCACCACCAGCGTGATGCAGACCCAAGGTTACAGCCCCATTGTAGAGCCAAAGGAACAAGAAGATAAACCAGAACTCCAGGAGTTACATTTCTATGTAGGCATCTTTCCTCTGCAGCCTCCCGTTACTCACCTCCCATTCTGAACAGCTTTATCATCTGCTCTCCTATGGTTTCTCTGAACTACGCCGGAGGTGACCATATTTCAGTGGCAAATTAAACTGTCACAATACATTCCTCTCCACAGTGGTGTGTGGTGTTTTTTTGTGTTTGTTTTTCTTTTTTTTTTTTTAAATATGTGAGCCCCAGCTGCCAGAGAATTGTTTTGGATAGATTAGATTAGGTGCCTGGGAAACAAGTTGAAAAAAAGTAAAGATTTTGCTTCTTGAAGAAATCTACCTGCTCCCTCCCAAGAAGTTTTTTATCCAAGAATACTTAGTCAAGTCACTGAACTTTTAGATTGACTGTTCTTTCCATGAGAAATGCCTCTGAGCAGCTGACAAAGAGAGATGGCTCATATTAGAATTACCTGCTACGAGCATGTAGCAAGATTCAAAAGCTCCGTTGTTTGTTTCTTTTAATCGAGCCCTCCTCCCTTCCCCATCCAGAGGGCTACATCGTTTCTTGTCAGTTGCTCGAGTTCTCTTAGTATTTTTCCAATCCACAACAGCCCAAGATGCTCCGTTTTACTACAGGGTATCAATTCATTCCTGAAGATACGATGCAAACACAAAAGATTTGCACGGAAAGGACATTCACATCTATCTGAAGACCACACAACTGGCTGCTCAGCCAGTGGGCTGGTGAGGGCCTGCACATTCCTCTATGACCGTCAGCCACACCACTCCATGGCCTCCTTGCTCCTGTGGGAAGGCAGCAGCATTTCTCCTGACCTGGGTCTCATTCCCTCAAGCCTTTCTTTAGATGTGTTCAGGATGGTCACACGGGTGTTTCTTTCAAGCATGGATCTTTTGAGAATCACAGAATATCCTTGGTTGGAAGGGACCCACAAGGATCGTAGAATCGTTTGAGCTGGAAGGGACCCATAAAGACCATATGGTCCAGCTCCCCCGCAGTGAACAGGGAAACCTACATTAGATCAAGAGCTCAGAGCCCCATCCTGACCGACCTGATCATCAACTCCAACTCCTGCTCCACACAGGACCACCCTCAGAGGCTCAAGTACCAGCCCCATCCACCACATCCCCCCCAGCAGCAGGAGGAGGTAGAAAGCAAAGCAGGGACTTGTGCGTGCTTCCTTGTCCATCAGCAGGCAGACTGGCTGCCAGATGGAGGTCACAGCACATGGCAGTACAGCAATATCCTCCCCCTGCATAGCCCCTCAGGCAGCTATTCCACATCAGGGCAGCTATGATATCATACACGGATACAAGGAGAGACAACAGGAAAGTCAGCTACAGAATTAGCACACACAGATGCTGGACTCCGTCCCATTAACCTTCAAGCAACAGTGATGTTTCATCTACTATCATATTGAAAAGGTTGGCTTCTCAAGCCCACTCTTCTACAGGATGAACTCTAGTACCTCAAGTACTAGTGCAGTGGAAATGCTAAGTCACAGCCTGAAGCAGTGATTAAGCACCTGGTGGGAAGGCAGGGCCAACCCAGGGGAGCTCAGGTGTATGCAATGTACCTGAGTGATCAGAAGGGGTAGAGCCAGGATCCACCCCTTCCCAGACCTCATTTAAAGGTTGGCAGTGAAGGTGAGGGGTATCTTCCTGGAGATCCTTGTGTACCTGAAGCCTTCTGAAGGTAAGCAGTTTATTTCCTTTATTTTTGTACCCACAGCCATTGCATTTGAGCAAACCTTCCCTTGCTGCAGCCTAGGGCCTTGCTACTCTGCTGTTATGTGCTTTCTACCATGTTGTGAATACCAAGCACTCTGACCTCTCATCCCTACAGTAATAAAGCCTGATGCAGGAACAGGACATGGGTACTACTGCAACTGCAGAAATACAGAGCTAGAATCGTGCCAGGCAGCTGCTGCAGCAGCTACTTGGGTAGCAAAAAGGACAAGTGACTAAATGGATCACACGCAGACTAATTTCATATATTCAAACCTATTTTATACGCATTCCTCTTTCTCTTGGAGCAGACTGTGAATGGAGCTGTACACAAATCACAGAATTGCTGAAGACGATGCAAAGCATCAAAACAGCATCAGCACTGGAGCAAGCCCTGTCTGCTTATGTGATGGCAGTCTGCTGAGCCAACAGACCGCTGATGAAATGAACTCACTTCTTAACAAGCCTCCAAGCGAGACCTCTACTTGCTTTGGACAAAAGTGCTTGCAATTAGATGACTTTCCTTCAGAGACTGTTCACCAGAGTCTGGCTTTCTCAAGGGAAGTGTTGGGTCTGATTTAGGCCAGGCTGGCAGAACAGCATGCATCCCATCCATCACATGCTGCATCAGCAATGCCTTCTCTCTCAGATCTCTTCTTTCACTCCTCGCTTCTCTTCCTGCAGAATGGGAGCAGAGCACAACCCCCTGGTGTGTGTTAGTTTCTCTCATTTCACTCCTGCTCTCTAGCTTTTTACATCTCACAGCCTTCTCCCATGAACAGGACATCTTCCTCTTCTTTTCACAGGTTGCAGCTCCTCCCAGTGTCTGCTGATCTCTAAGAATGCTAAATAATAAGATGTGCAGGCCTCTTCCCAGAGAACTGTAGATGCAGCTATGTCCCTTCTCTGCGTTTGTCATGTTACTGCTCCTACACACATCTAAATTCAGCTCTATCAGCTCTCAAATTTAACTTCAATGTGAGCAGCTTGATTTGGCTTTAGCAATGCAAGAAAATTCCACTCACAGTTCTGCCCAGTGCTATGTATTGCATTGCCAGAGCACTGTCACCCAGCACGCTCTCCCCTTATAGCAGCTGTACTGCATCAATCCACCCAGCAGGAGGGTCAGCATTGCTCCCAGTAAAGAAGAGTTTTAGTGAGCTGAAGCAACCATCCAGCCAACAGCAGAGATGGAGTCAGATTCCTGGGTCCCACAAAGTCATCTGTCAGCATCAGACTTGGAGAGCTGGATAAGCTGTTCAAAGAACCCCACTTTGACCTTGGATGCCCAGGTGGGTTGTATATTAATGCAGGTACACCTCAGCCAGCATGGAAATACCAGGATCTCTAGCTGCACACGCTGCAGAATTGTATTCTGGCAGCACGAAGTTGATAACTGATTTTTAAATTATTTTTTACTGAGCTAGTTGTTGAATAGTGCTGGTTCCATGTTAAGGAGAGACCAACAAGCAGGTGGCAATACAGAACAGATCATCTAGAGGCATTTTCCTTCAGATATCTGTAACTATAAACCAACTATTATCAGCTTTGCTCTATTGTCAGTAAATAATTAACTGCAAAAGCATACTCCTCTCAGCCCCATCCTCTCCAATCAATCTGGCTTCAGGTCTACATGCTGCCAGGACTGCTCACTATAGCAGTGCACTCAAAGCATTTCACATGACAGAGGAATGGTGTGACTTCATTATTTCAGTGGGGACCTTTCTTTCCCAGTACAAGGGGGTGTCATCATGTAACTCCTGTACTTACAGCAGAAAAGTACAGCATATTTCACTTAGAAGGTGTATGAGCTGCATGAAGATGTAAAAACAGGTCTGCCATTTGATCCTGGTCATTCTTTTAGAATATAAAGACAGTAGATAATTCAGTCAAAATCACATTAAAAAGGCACAGGGAGAGCACAAGCAAAAATAAGTGCTGGAAAAACACTCCAGAATTGTGGAAACACCCTTCTCACAACAGCCAGAATGCCAGGGAGAGGCAGAGCAGCTCTGCCACTGAGAAAACGTCTTCATACAGTCACTGGGTTTAGTTCAGCTGGCAACAAAGAGTTCAGTCAAAATCTCCACCAAGGTGGAGTAAAAGGGGAAAATGGCTACATTAGACTCAAAAAGAGAGGCTTAAAAAAATGAGGCAGATGAACGAATGTAAGAAAAACCGTGATATACTGAGAGATAACAGTATGGGAAGGAAAAAAATAAGTGAAACAGACACTGAGAACAGCTCAGGAAAAGAGAAACCATGAAAAATTAGAATAAAAAGTAGAAAGACAGTGAGAGAAAAGAGGAATGGGACTGGACAGAGTAGCTGACCAGCACTTAGCAAATGTCATTTGTTTAATCTCATATTTGTCAAATAATTTACTTGCTTAATATTTCTTTTTGGCTTCTAATGAGCCATAAAGCTGATGAAATATCATTTTGTACAATTAAAAGCATTGAATACATTCGGCTCTTACTGATATTAATCTAATAATACATCTATCTGCTGGCTCTGAGTTTACACTTGAAAAAAAATAAGTTAAAAACAAAGCTGGTAATAAATTACAACTAAGTACAAGTGCTTGGGGTGCAACTGGGCTGCCCAAAGCAGAGCAGCACAACACACCTTGAAAGATGGCAAGCAGGGGCTTGGCTAGCATTCCTGCCCATTCCCTTCTTCATCAGGAACTCTACGCAGGGCAGCCTTTGCCTCAGTTTTTACTGTGGTGATTTTTTTTCCCTCGTATTCAACTTCAGAAGGCTCTTTTCACTCAGAAGTGTGAAGTTTTGGATCCTGATGACAAATGCTGCGGACAGCCCAACCTGGATGAGTGGGAAGGCTAGAGGACATCCATGCTGTTGGGCTGTCATCTTGGGAATTAGATGTTTGGAAGCTGCACTTCACCTCCCCAAAAGGTTGGGGAAGTTTGGTGGAAGATAGCGATGTGGCAAACGGTGCTTTAGTACTGCTGCTCTCCCAAGGAATGCTTCCTGAGTGCCAGCAGCCTGCTTTTCACCGCTTCTCAGGAGAGCCAAGAAGAGAAATCAAGCTGCAGTTGTCAGCCTGCTTCTTCCTCTCTGGTCCAACAGCATTGTAAGAGTTCCCTCGTGATGGTTTGTGCACAGAACCTCCTTCAGAGCTTCACAGCATCCCCTTTCAAGCGACTCACAGAGCCCACAAAAGAGCCTCCCTTAGGCCTTTGGTCTTGTTTCAACACCATGGCATGAGTGTGACCCCAAATGGAGGTCATTAGAGCTAATTACTAAATCACTTAGTACAAACACAGAAGGTATGACCACACCGATGTTCACGTGGAGATCTGGAGGCTGTGCTGACAGCACCCACCTGGCACAGCCCAGCAGTGACAGCCACCAGCCTGCAGGCCCACCAGCAGGCTGAACTGGGAATTCCCTCAGCTCTGTTTCACCCTGCTGCTGAAACAACAGAGTTTGCGTTGTTAATCAGACCAGGACTGCACCGGAGGAGTGGGCTGCAATGCCTGGCTGCATGAAGGGGGGACAGATGGCTTCACAGCCGCAGCTCTGTTACAAGCACTGCGAAAACCATGCAAGCTTTCATTCTCCAGCTGCAAAACCAGAGCACTTTAGGATAAATATACCAGCAATTCTAACCAAAGCAGCACCCTTATCCCTGATGGTCCGGGTAGCAGGAGGAAGAGCAGCCTCAGCACGGCCCCGTGCTGGCACAAGCAGTCAGGGTGAGCGCATCCCTCCCTGCTCTCCTGCACAGTGCCAGTGTCCGAGGCGCAGTTCTGTGCATGCTTGTGTCAGGCTCTGCAGAGGAGCGCAGCCTATGGGAGCTCGTGCCTATCGGGCACTGCCGGGAGTAACTGCACGGAGCGACGGAGACAACTTCAGGTACGGAACGGCACAGCTCTTCCCAACGCTCCAGCCTCCATCCGCCCTTCTCCAGGCATCCCGGAGCTCGCAGCCCCCCTCGATTCCTCACCGGCTCTTTTGTCTACGGCCGACCGAAGCCCATCCCGCGCGGATGCGGGCAGGCCGAGCCTCCCTCCCGTCCCGCAGAGCCTCCTTCCCACCGGGCCGCCCGCGGGCTCCTCCCCGCGCGGGTGCAGCCGCGCCGCAGCGTCCCTCGGAGGAAGGCAAGCGAAGGGAGGCGCCGCCGGCCCCGCAGCCGCACGCCCCGCGCTCCGCCACCTGCGGGCCGCCCCCGGCCCGGGCACCGCCCGCAGCGCGCCGCGAAGGCGGGGACGGCCCCGCGGTGGGGGCGGG